TCGCTGCGAAGTCTGTCATTGAAGCCCAGAGGAATTGCTACAATTGATACATCTCAGGTCCGTGCTTTTTGCAATAGGACTCGGAATTAGGACGAAATAGAAGTTCTTTATCCGGTATAGGCCGAGTCCTAATACGTATGTGTATTTTGAAATGCTATTATAACCATAATTGCTCAGTTTGCGTGCCTCGCGTCCCACTTTACTGTTATGCTTCATTTGAAGTACATGCGTCCATGAAAGGGATCCAGCCCGTCAAGCGCGGAAGTCACAGTCAATTTCAGCTGTTGGTTGAAGAGTTTAGACCTACCGCTTTCAAGTTGCGACGCAGCAGATCCTCCCTCTAAAAGGTTTATTTGCAGGAACTCTTAGTGTTCTTTCGATATCTTTCTTTTCTTAACTACCCTGCTCGGGACTCTTATCATCCAATTTGCTGGTATTTCTCGCTCGGAACCTATATATACGTATGCATCGCTATAATACGTGCACCGGCTTGAATCTGGAAAGCTGGGTATAAACCATTGGCGCGTATCATTGGGCTATACAGCCATTGCAACCCGCAACACGAGGACAGAATACTCGGTGGGCCCTCAGCGTATTCTGGCTACTTCAGATTTGTAATAGTCTGTCAACCTTGAATCTGGCTTGATACCGCATGGGTGCTAATCGCTGATGACTGACTGTCCTTCGTGTCATCAATTGCGAGATCCATTCCGTCTGACCGCCACGAACCCAGTGTCTGCATTACTCCATTGATGCCCCTTCTCGTCTCTGCTAGCTTATCACGCATTATTTCATTTTGCGACTCCAGTATCTGCATATCGTAGCGCAGTTGACTGGCCTCATCCCGGAGCGTATGACTTTCGCGAAGACAGTCATCCAGTTGGGAACGAGTGCGTTCCAATTCATTTTCTATGCGGCTGTTGGTAGCCTTAAGCGGGCAGATCTCTGCGGTGAAAGAAACTTCCACCATTCCTTCGCTGAAACGTTGTGTCTTCATGCTCCGTCAGCAAGGCCATATTAATGAGGACATCCGGCAAGGGACTCACCTCCTTTGGAAAGCCGTCAGTATTGGACTGCGAGGTTTCTAGGGACTGCGGGTTGACAGCTTCGAGTGAGGAACCGAGTTCCTTCAATATTTTCCGGTAAAGGTTTATCATGCCGCTACTTAGGTTTGATTTGAGCAAAGCAGCATTCGTTCTCGTCACCGACCAAGCGTATCCATCTTCAGGTCGCGGTTGGAGACGGACTCGTTCGGGAGCGACGACGAGGTGAAGTCGGTTATCTAGGTGTATTAGCTTGTGTGGGCAGCAGAAGGGGTTGGTAAATACATATATGAGCCGCTAAGGCTTCTCGACATTGTTTTCTCAGTTGGAAGCGTTTTTGGTTGCTGCTTTTAGACATTAAAGTGTACTTTGGTCATTCAAAGGATTAAGGGAAAGATCCGCGGGATTTTATAAAACAATAAAAAAAAGGAAATAACACTTGCACTAGATACCAAGTTAATGTAGGATCGATGATACGTTCTTTGCTCAGGTAGAAAGTGGTGCCCATGGGTAGGGGTGGCCCACTTTCGGAGTGTGGATTTTCATTGGATGAGATGCATCTTGTGATGATTTCAGCGTTGAGAATCAGTTGAAAGTTCCGTAAACCTTTCACTCCCCGAGCCCTCATGTATAGTGCTGGGTGCGTGAGTCGCGCACAAATACTACGACCCTCAATTTATGCGTGAAATACCTTTAATTATAACATCTTGTTGGCAAAACACAGGACTCTGTTTGGTAGGGCTCACGATGCTGCGCATTTCTGCCCTTCGATATGGGCTGTGAAAGCCGGAATGGATTGATAGAAGGTCAAAAAAATGATGAATTGAGCAGAGAGTCAGGCTTGATCGGCTATTCCACGGAGATTTCATTTCGTCTAGAAAACATATAAAAGGGGTCAAGTCAAGCCACCTGAATGTCCCATTCGGCACGCGATCATCCTGATAGAAATGGCCCCAAGAACTCGCCGGTCCCTCTGTCCAAAAGTAGCGACCTATCGCGACATGGTGCAACTGCAGTGTGACTTGTCCAAGCGTCCACCCACAAAGATGACCACTCGCCATGGTACCTATGCCGGTCGCAACGTTTGCACGGACTCGCCGAGCTTGAAATCTTCGCGAGCAAAGGCAATGCGAACGAGCGTCCATTGTCGATATCATGTTCCACCTGTCTCACTACTTCCACGGTCGTCTGGCAGGTTCCCAAGGAAAGGCAGCCACAAGAACACGCGCAAGACACGAGCGATTTCTGAGCAAGAGGCAACACGACTGGATTGGATGCGACGACTTCGACCTAAGCCCCATAGGCGTTGCTAGGTCGGACAATTTCAAGTCGACCATGGAGGCTCAGCAGATGGCATATCGCAATATCTACTCTCTTCCTTGTATCGTTGAATAGATGGAAGTATTTCACAGGCAACTAGGTATGAGAATGCGGATTTCCAAAGTTCGAGAGACACAGCCTAGATATTGAGTTTCTACATAGAAGATAGGATGTTTTGAGAAGCAATGTAAGGTTCTGATATACGCAAAACGGCCAGTATGTAACAGGATTGTTTCTCTGCTTTTGCTGTCAATGCTTTATAAAAAAGCACACCAAATATCTCTTGTAGGACATGAGAACGGTAGGGTATTGGGAACTGGAAATTCTGGAATCTAGTAACAGAGGTTGGTTGCGATTTGGTAGCGGCTTAATTGCAGGATATATGTACTATGTCTAACGACCTTTGAAATATTGGAAGGTGGATTGAGAACGGCCTGAACCAAAGCCTTTCCCCAATCCAAGATACTAGAACTGCGCGCATGTATCTCCAACTTGATTAAGAGCATTTAATGCTACATGTAATCAGTAGACTTCGACCAGTTGGCACCCTAGAGTAGCCTCCGAGCTCACGAACGACTGAATTATATTTTCTAACTAATGACCAGAGTGAGCTTTCCGACAATCCGTCGCGTCTCCGTTGTAAACATTTTCTACTGTTATAGACAGTACAGATTCTAGAGTTTCTTTTCACATGCCATCCACATATAGTAGGGGTTTGGAGGTACCCAAGGGTACATTTATGCGGCCCACGCGGCTGACTGCAAGGAAGAAGTCGAGATGGCGATGATGAAAAGCTCGATCTCTTGAGTGTCAGTACTGTTGACATAATGTGGGAAACTGTAATTACCTCGAGTGCAACCATCCATGATTTGCCTAGCATACCTATGATGGCAACCACAAGTAAAAGAAGTGCCATTACAGAGAGATAGCATGAGATGTACTGCAGCTTAGGTCTGGCTAAGGTTGAATGTCGAACCATCAACCAGAACCATGCAGCTACGCCCACATAGTCCACAAAGAGAACAAAGAGGCCACCCGGATGGACGGAGCTCAGGAGGAAGGTTCCAGCAAGTGACAATGCTACCTTAGCCAGTGCGGAAAGAACGGCGAAAGTAGGGTACACGATGCGTAGAAATCGGGGTGTGAATATGTTTTCACGCTGTTGAAAAATTACGTGAAGATACTGTGGTCCGTTAGCCGATAGTTAGCCTCACTCATTCCATGCAATGATGACCTACCGCTTGTAGCGGTGGGAATAACGGGGTAACCCAAAAGAGAACTTGGCTCCATCTTGGAAATCTTTTACTCCAGAACAGCCCCGTAAGAATAGCAAAGGGAACACATGAGAAGGCACACAAACTCAAGTCGAATTTGTGCCACCGCCACTTGGATGGAATACAGTACAAAAGAGACAGTCTTCCAACGTTCAGAAGTAGAAGAATAGTCACTAAAACAGATTTGATAATGTCTTCTGAAATCATGGCTATAATTTCTTAGCAGCAGACACATCTTGGGATTAGAGATGGAGGTTTATATAGCCAAACCAACAATTGCCTAGTCATGAATGTATAGATCCCAGGAGCTCTTCGTCAGGTTCCAAAGTCTTCTCGACGGATCGCATACTCAACTTTCTACCTTTATCTCAACCTTATGGTGTTGCGGAAAAACTGAGGTCTTCAATTAATGGTTCGCGGTAACATTTTGCTTTCCTTCCGCGCTCGAGAGCAAGTCCCGCTTGAAAGCCTGGAACATATTGCTGAGCCAATTAGTATCGCACCTGCTCATTCTCACCCTTGCTGATATGAGACCACCTGCATGGGAAAAGCGATAAAAAATAATGAACGTTCACATTTCACTTTACTAGAAATGGGTGCAGTCAGTCATCGCTTCACAATGGCCGATTGCAAGTGCATTTCGCCTTTTCAATGTCGACGGAATGCGACACGGTGGTGAATATATACGGGAATCTTACATATCACGAGATCTGACCATATCGCGGGCCGCCCATATAATTCCTTTGGGCGGAACAGTAGAAACTTGCGCGTTGCCTACAAAATGCTTGGAAACCTCGCAAGCTTGGATGGAACAACGCTCTATCTTTGAGAAAGCTTGGTACACATTATGCACGTATTCCCTTTCTGAAAACGATTCAAAAACCGAGACAGAAAGAGACTAGATCGTAGATATTAGCTCTAGTAGCTTATTGGTATGTATTATGTCTGTCGCGACTGAGTTCCTGTTGCCTTGGAATCATGTCTCTTCGCTACCATTGAAATGGGGATGGCTCGATGGCAGTCTGATATGGCAGACGGGTCGGTATCAATGGAGAGAAGACAACCAACCACTCCCATGCCCACCGTAGGCGTAGAGAGTAGTCTCAGGAAGCGACTGAAGTACTGATCTTGGAGCTATATCATGAATGAAGAATCTGGTGGAAAAATCGTAGTCATATTGATGATGGTAGGATGCCATCCCTTGAAGGAGAAGATTGCATGCAAGCTTCCTGCAGATATTGTGATACCTTAGGCCACTAATACGCTACTGTCACGGCTTCCACCACTACAACATGTAATTTAGATCATTGATGATGATGATGATGATGATGATGATGATGATGGCATTGCGATCTGTCGCACAATGGTCGGTTCTGTTCATATGCCTCCTACTGAGGGAAAGGCCCTTGGTGATAAGGAGTTCGGGGCTGCATTTTTCCAGGTTATTGGACGCGGTTTGGCGCAAGGTTGGTTCTCTGGGCACCCGTATGAAGTGCGGAAGGGTGGACTGGGTGGTGTTGAAGGAGCATTGAAGGATTTGGAGGCTGGTAAGGCATCTGCGGTTAAATATGTGGTGAGGATTGCAGAGACGGAGGGTGTGTTGTTGTAGATTAGGAAATGCTGTAATGCGCCGATCCTCAGCCAGGTTGAACACTCTCTTCCTGCCTGACGGGCGTAAGGGTTGTACAATGCAAAAAGCAGGTTTGCCAGATCCAGCTACCTTTATAGCTGCATCTCAGTGGCCTAAAAGAAAGGCGTATCATTGTGGTTCACGTTCTACTCATCGAGTCTCGTTCACCGCTCATTCTTGACTGTCCATAGAGCCCTTATCATTCCAACAAAAAGTTGTAAATGTCTATAGCCTTAGAGGGTTTTCTCTTTCTATCTCTATCTATTAAACACGCAGCAGACTAGAGCGCATTGGTATTTAGTTCCCGTGCTTTACCACGTGCGATATGCAAAGAGGAGCCCGTACAAGGTTGTCTTGGTGATAGAAATGAAGGACATACTTTCGCTATTTTAGTTATAGTTTCAGTCTGCTCGGAAAGTGCTACTATAATTGGTAAGGTTTTCCTTGCTTCATGGTTACGTGCAGCACTGCTAGAACGAATGTAAAAGACATAAAATAGACGCAAGAATCAAAATAAAAACAGTATGCGAATCCTCATGCACATCCCATTGGTGATTCAGTTATGCACTTGAACGTCAAGTAGTTCACCGAGACAGTTCACTGGCCGTAACCGCAATAACAGAATACAGGACATGACGTTTCAAGCGATAGTCCCTTGGGTCTGGCAGTCGCTTCTGACCACCGCCCTCCTGTTGGTATCAAGACATGTAGGGGATCGCTACCTGCATGACTACTTTGGAATACTCCACGAGGCTGTATGTTGCGATCAGGTACATGCCGTGTAGACTGGGCTGCCCAATCCGCGCCAAGCCAATTCTCTCAAGAGGACGACAAATGTAGAAAACATAACCGAAGAAATTGATGAGCAGCAGTCGACCGAATGCAGTGGCCAGTGGGGAGGGATCGTGGAGTGGTTCGGCCAATGCATGAATTGTGGGCACCAACGCCAATAGGCCCACTGGCGCATACTGGCAGAATCGACCACGAAAGGATACCGTGTTATCTTTGAGGTAGCCGTCAGGGAGGCTTCCAACAACGATCACGGTGAAGGCTGAAGCGTATCCAAGTTGTAGCAATGGTTGGGCTGGAAAGAGAAACGCGACCGTCGGAAGAGCAGCGGTCCAAATGAGGAAGAGACCTACAAACCACAATGAGACTTGCTCTTTTGTCTTTGTTTTGTTGTGGAGCACACAGAAACCGTTTTGGATGACAACACATAAATGCCACAAAGCGATTCCGCCACCAAAGGCGATGACTGCCAGGGCATACGGGATCGACTCTTGAGTTGAAGGAAAATGGAAAATCAAAAGTAGTAGTAGATAAACGACAAAGTAGGAGAGCCCGAGCATGCCAATTATAATATCAATGGCACAGTTGCGCAGGTTATGGTAATCGAGAGTGTCCATTTTGCAAAGTCAAAGTAATTATTCCGACTGGATTGAGGATAATTATTCGGGCGGGTAGGCGTTTTTATAGCCAAGTGTGGAGCCCAGGCCATATTCTTTACTACACAAGTCGGTATTTGCTGAAACACGAAGGAAGGGTGGAAGTGACACTTTATGCGGCGGTGATCACCAGAACGGTTGAGGTGAAGAACCATCATATCAACAATCACGACCTCAACGGCTGCACCCTCAGAAATGAGCACGTTCATCTTGAACAGTCGAGGCGTGTTTATCTGTCGTTGTCCCAATGATCTTCGGGCTATGCGACTGGCCTATGTATGCAATGACTGTGACGGATAAGAGCATGGTGTATTTCTCACTAGGTAACTAAAGGCTATAAGGGTTGAACGTGCTTATTCGTTTTCTCTTGCACAAAACGTCCTCGCGAAATCCAGAAATGGAAGAGATTGTACATATTGTTCGCCAGATCGGCCAACAGCAAGCACACAATGCTTACTATCGTGACTGCTATGCTCTCTTCAAGCTACTCCAAGACCTGACGGAACACACTTTCAACGAGCTACAAACACTTTACCGATCCGGTACCGGGGACACGAACAATTCCGTGCAACAAGTACTGCGAACTTTCCAGAATGCAATCTGCAACCTTGTTGAAAGGGCATGTGAAGCTCAAGCGGCTTGTGAGGAGTTGTGTCCCGTGAATGCATCATTTTCAGCACGTGATATTTTAGAGCCCATCAGAAGGATGTACACAGATCCAGGTCCCTCAACCAAAGGCAGGCAAACGCTTTGTCACGCCTGAGCCTACTATCAAAGCCTTTATCACGGACAACACTGGCTGTTCTTCTTTCGTGACCTCTCAGAGAAATTCCGTGTTTCCATGTTTCGCCCGCTACAGATTATTAGGCGACCACAATGTATCATACTTATCTGATAATTCTGTACCATAAAGGCCACAAACGACATGGGAGTTCAAGAAGTATTCGGCTCAAATTTTGTGAATTAGATATATCGAGAAAGATTTCTATTTTACTGAATGTGCACTATAGAAGCAAGCAATACAGTACCCCAGTCCACCATCCGCAATTGACTATATAAATAAATCGCAATCTACTCAGCTGAATGAATATCTGATTCAAGACCCGCAGTGCGCTTTCCATTTAGATGCAACAGCAGAAAATTTGAACCAGCCATATGATTGAACTGGCAATAGAGAACAGCAAGGCCAACCACGTTGTGATAAACATCTTTGCTCCAAAGTTGACTTGGACACCATAGGTCTGCAAGTTATTCTTGACGACGGAAGCGAAAAGACCATACAGAACCGTGACCAAGATTGTGGCAGTCGTAATGAGCGTCGATGAAAGCTTGGTTTGTCAGCATCTTTCTATGTTCTCCCGAGTATTACATACCGTGCAAAATATGGCAAGTAACTTGCTACCACTGGAAAAGAAACACTTGCGACCAGCCAAGATTATGGTCAACGTGGTTGCCACAAACCCGGAAATATACAAACGGATCGCACTCAGGGAGAGTTGGCGGTAGCCGGAAATCAGACTTTGATCTATCTCTGGAAGTATGTCGATTACCTTTATTGGCGTAGAATCAAGCAAGGCAGATAGATCGAAAGAAAAAGATGTGCTGGGGTGGGAGCACACCATCTTCGAGCCATCCTGGGACTTGCAGTAGCTCCAGAGGCCAACAAAATAGTATCGAGGCAGATGTGACTTCAAGTCGTGTACCGGGGCTTGCATCATGCTCCTGGCAGCGGACGTTGCCTCAATAGTTGCTTCATGTGCGCTGGTATGGACGCTAGACGCCACGTCTTCGACGGCATTTCTTCCCCCTCTCTCGGAACGCGCATTGTCAATATTGAACGAATCCCGAATTTGTAAATCAGGTAGCTTTGGAAAATCTTTCAGGTCTACCTGCCGATTTCTTAGCTAGGTGATTAGAACTGAAGTGTTTTCGGGCGTTTCTTACTTGCAAGTAATGCAGACCCCTCGGAGAGGAAGACGACGAACATCCGACAAAGATAAAAGATAGACAAACCAAAGCCGCGACAGAAAAAGACAGTGCCGTGGTTGAAACTAGCGAATCCAGTTTGCTCTTGGTGGAAAGCTTCATGGTTCACAAGCGAGAACCGAATGGAGCGTATCTTACTGTAACCGATTATGACCTTGACATCCGGGTAACATTTGAGAATCATGTTGCATCGCAATGCAAGGAAGCTCTTTATAAGAGTCCAAGATATGGTCAGCTTAGTCCGTGTGGACAGTATTCGGCAAACCAGATAATTGAGGTCGGCGCAATTTTCCGCCTCACTCCATGGGCAGTAGTAGATAAACGTGGCAGGTAAACTATCAGCACAAATGAGCTTCCCATAATAAACAACTGTAGCCGGTGCAGGCAGATAATTGACTTCATTGACCGCTGGAATAGGAGGGCATGCAATAGATCGTCGAATTCAGATCTTTGGCTCACAATTCTTCCCAGAAAGGTTCAATAATAAAGCTGGTATAAATACTACTGTATGGAGTCTCCCTCGACACATTGTTCTCGCGTCATTCTAAACACCTGCTCATCTGCAACACACATGTGACTTGCACTGGCTCCCATCATGTCCCCTTCCAGGCAAGCAGAAGTTGAACATTGGGAGCGAAAGTTATACGACTATAAAGAACGTCATTTCGAGCTATCTGCTAGGGTGCATATTTCTCACCTCGTCTTCGAAACCGGGTTCAGAAGACAGATGGACGGCCGGCAGAACATCCGCCGATTGAAACAAATGATGAAGATTCAAGGGTGCCAACGCTTGATGCGGGACAACCATGTACCAGTGATAGTTCCCAGGGCTCATTGGCAAGATCGCGTACGTCCGCGATCTGGCAGTGGAGTCATGTCTACCTTGTTGGGGTTAGATTACCGGTTGTGCGGGTACGATCACGAAAATCTCATCACGGCTGCCAAGCATGTCCTCGACTATGACAACCAGTGGTGGATTGTAGATGTGTATCTAACAGATAATGATGAAGGTGCGTCTTCTCAGCTCCAGCTTTCTGAGATCCCCGTTGACAATTCCCTAGCTTCGCCCGAGGACCACAGCAATGACGTGGAGTCTGTTCGTCATAAGTTCGTTCAATCGCTAAAGGAGCGATACCCAAACGATAATCGCCCACCCGATGGACTGATCTACGAGCGGATCAATCGCTATGAGGGCTACCTCAACACGCCGAGGGATCCACTCGCTGCGAATAACTGGTGGGCTGTACTGGAGGCTCTCGCAGGAAGTAAGAAAGGAAAGTATTTGAAACAATTCTTCAAACATGAGACCTTACACCTGAAGCTAAACTCTTTGCTTGTCATTCCGGGTCTTTGGGAAGGCATGCGGATTGGGCTACTTCATAAAGTGACAGCCATGCATTGCGACGAAGTGAGTTACTCGGTAACCCAAATCGACCTTATCTCAGCTAACATGGTTGCAATTCTAGCCAATCGCATGTTACTGGGAATTGATCTTCAGGACTTTTTCGAGATTGGTCGGAGGAAGAGAGGAGCTGTTACCCCTGATTG